GAGGAGATGGGATCCTAGTTCCTTGCAAATCTCCATGGAACACACCTTTACTGCCCGTCAAAAAGGCCGAGACTGGGGAGTACCGACCCGTTCAGGACTTGCGGGAAGTTAACAAATGGGTTGAAGATATCTACCCGACGGTGCCTAACCCCTATACCCTACTCTTCCTCCTGGGCCTCAAAAGAACTGTGTATACTGTCTTAGATCTCAAGGGTGCATTTTTCTGTATACCTTTAGCAAGGGAATCACAGCCCCTTTTTGCTTTTGAGTGGTCTGACCCACAGGAAGGATTTCAAGGCCAGCTTACCTGGACAAGACTTCCCCAAGGATTCAAGAATTCACCCACCATTTTTGATGAGGCCCTACACGAGGATTTGCGTGAGTACAGAACCTCCAACCCGGGAGTCACTCTGTTACAGTATGTTGATGACTTGCTAGTAGCTGCTGAGGACTATGAGTCATGTTTGCGGGGGACGAGAGCTTCTTACAGACTCTGCAGGAAAAAGGGTATCGGGTGTCAGCAAAGAAAGCACAGCTCTGTCAGAGCCATGCCACACATCTAGGCTTTGATCTCCCCGAGGGAGTGTGTTCACTGTCTGAGTCCAGGAAACAGGTGATCACCTGATACCGCTGCCCCACCACGTCCCGACAAATAAGGGAGTTTCTTGGGACGGTGGGCTACTGTAGGCTGTGGATACCGCGGTTTGCGGAGATTGTCCGACCTCTCTACAAACTGATAAAAGGAGGGTTCACTATGATAGAGTGGACAGCTGAGGCAGAAGGAGCATTTCGGGAATTACAAAGAGCCTTGCTGAGTGCCCCAGTGTTGGCCATCCCAGATGTTACCAAGCCCTTCCACTTGTATGTGGATGAAAAAAGCAGGGGTAGCCAAAGGAGTTTTAACTCAGACTCTGGGGCCTTGGCGAAGGCCAGTGGCCTATCTTAGCAAGAAACTAGATCCAGTAGCATCTGGGTTCCCCCCTTGCCTCCACATAATTACTGCAACGGCCCTCCTGGTCAAGGATGTGAGTAAATTGACTTTGGGTCAAAATCTTATCGTAACCACCACACACGCTATTGAGGGCCTTCTCCGGACTCAACCAGACCGATGGATGACGAACACCCGAATAACGGAGTATCAGGCCCTTCTCCTCAATGAACCAAAAGTGACCTTCTGACCCCCAGTGGTGCTAAATCCAGCCACACTGCTGCCAAAGGAGCTAGCTGACCATCCACATGACTGTGGGGAGGTCCTAACCCAAGTCACAGGAATAAGGCCGGATCTCAGAGACATTCCCCTCCTGGATGCCGAGATGATTCTGTTCATGGATGGGAGTAGCTACATGGTCAATGGAAAGAGGTATGCAGGGGCTGCAGTGGTTTCTCCTGAGCAGGAACTCTGGACAGCAGCCCTGCCACATGGAACTTCGGCACAAAAAGCGCAACTGATTGCACTCACTAAGGCACTGCAGATGGCCAAAGGTAAAACCTCCAACATTTATATGGACAGCAGGTATGCCTTTGCTACTCTCCACATACATGGGGCTACTTATAAAAAAAAAGGGGGGGCCTATTAAGAGCAGAAGGAAAAGGAATTAAAAACAGAGGAGAAATATTGGCTCTTCTCCAGGCTATTTGGGACCCAAAAGAGGTGGCTGTTATGCATTGCCCGGGACACCAAAAGGGGACTGATCTAATTTCAAAAGGAAACCACTTAGCAGATCAAGCCGCAAAGCAAGCAGCTCGAGACACAGTGCAAGAACTGGTTACACTCCTGGCTCCAGCTCTACCAGAAAAACCGAACTATTCAGAAGAAGATTTAAAGTATTTGCAGAAATGGATTAAATTGGACTATGAAGGGGACTGGGCTAAGACAAAAAGAGGAAAAATAATTCTTCCTCAAAGACTAGGTAAGAAGTTAGTAGACCAGATACATCAGGGTACTCATTTGGTGATAAGCAAACTCAAAGACCTTATAGGCAAGCAATTCCAGGTTTCTAAATTAGGGTGTATGGTTCAGGTTGTAGTTGATAGATGTGCTCAATGCCAGGCAGTTAATGTGGGAAGAACTAAAATGGGAAGAGGGAAAAGAGAAAGAGGTAAGGAACCAGGAATTTATTGGGAAATAGATTTTACGGAAATGAAACCTAGGAAATATGGGCACAAGTATATGTTGGTTTTTGTGGATACCTTTTCAGGCTAGGTGGAGGCTTTTTCCGCCAAACATGAGACAGCAGGAGTGGTAGCTAAAAAAGCTACTAGAAGAAATAATTCCTAGGTTTGGGCTGCCTCTTGTGATCGGGTCAGACAATGGCCCTGCATTTGTGAGTTCAGTCTCACAGGCATTGGCCAAGGCCGTGGGCACAAATTGGAAACTACATTGTGCCTATTGGCCCCAGAGTTCTGGGCAAGTAGAGAGAATGAACCGGACTCTTAAAGAGACGTTGACAAAACTAATTCTGGAGACTGGCGGTGGATGAGTAGATCTCCTTCCTTTTGCCCTCCTCAGGGCCCGATGTACACCCTATTTAAACAAGGTGACCCCATTTGAAATAATGTTTGGTAGACCCCCCACCCCACTCTGTCCTTGGCTACAGGAGGTTGCTCTAGCAGAAATGACTGATCAGTCTGTACTCCAGTCACTGCAGGCATTACAGTCTGGCTTAAAAAAAGCCCACACAGGGATCTGAACTGCCCACACTGGGACAGAGACGGTGTGGGAACCACATCCTTACCAACCCGGGAACTTGGTTTGGATACGTCGCTATCAAGTGGGGAACTTGGAGCCTCGCTGGAAGGGACCATTTACTGTTATCCTAACCACCCCCATGGCAGTAAAAGTAGAAGGCATTAGGGCCTGGGTTCATGTGGGTCACGTCAAACGAGCCTAGAGTAAGGACGCCCCCCAGAGATGGAAACTGCAGCCGACAGACCCCGCTGACCATGGACTAAAACTAAGACTAAAAAGCTGTAAGTTTATTGTTGCTGTACTAAAGAAAATTGGAGTGATAAAATGTTAGTCTTACATGCTCAATATAACATAGAACTACCTGAAAAGTCAAGGATTTGACTAATCTCCAAAGAAAAGGGGGGAATGTAAGGGCCTGCCCCTCCCAGAGGAACTGGCTTGTGGACCCCGGATGTAGGGGCGGGGCAGGCTGGGTGGAGACGTCCAATTGGTGGGGCGCGCGTATATCCACTGGGGTGAATTGGGATTCAATTGGCCTCCTGTGTAGGGGCGGGGCTCAACCACCCCCATAAAGGTTGGTCTGCGAGGCTGTCAAAGGGAGAAGGAGAGCTGTCAGAAGAAGCAGCAGCAGAAGGAGAAGAGTGGGTGGGAGCAGCAGCAGCAGAAGAGTGGGAGGGAGCATCAGCAGAAGAGTAGGTGGGAGCAGCAGCAGAAGAAGAGTAGGCGGGAGCAGAAAAAGAGCTGTAACAGCTCTTGTAAGAGCTATAGGGGCTGTAACAGCTCTTGTAAGAGCTATAAGCACCGCCAGCGGTCCTGCCACCTGCGGCCCCGAGCCGCCAGCGGCCCCGAGCCACCAGCGGTCCAGACACCAGCGGTTCCGCCGCCAGCAGCCCTGATCCACCAGCGATCCCGACGCCTGCAGTCCTGCCACCAGTGGTCCAGATGCCAGCGGTTCCGCTGCTAGCAGCCCCGAGCTGTCACCGGTCCCGCCGCCTGCGGTCCTGCTGCCTGCGGCCCAGACGCCAGCGGTCCAGATGCCAGTGGTCCCAACGCCGCCTGTGGTTCCACCGCCAGCGGCCCGAGGCACCAGCGGCCCCGATGCCTGCGGCCCCGCCCACACATTGCGACCCTCGGCAGCGGTGCCATGGGGAACGGCCTAGATGTCAGCAACCTCACCGCGAACCCTGAGCCGCTGCCTCACCAGAGCTGTGTCATTCCAGGGAGCAGCTTTGTCTGGGAAGAGGCCTCCTTAGTGAGCGGCCCTGTGGGAGCAGCATCATCAGGGAAGAGGCTCCCTCCAGAGCGGCCTCGCTGGAGCAGCCTTGTCTGGGGAGCGGCCTCGCCAGAGCAGCCTTGTCCAGGGAGCGGCCTCGCCAGAGCAGCCTTGTCTGGGGAGCAACCCTGTCCAGGGAGCATCCTCGCCAGAGCAGCCTTGTCCAGGGAGTGGCCTCGCTGGAGCAGCCCTGTCCGGGGAGCAGCCCTGTCCAGGGAGCGACCTCATTAGCAGTGGCCTCAACTGGGGAGTGGCCTCGTCGGTGAGCGGCCTTGTCCGGAGCGGTGGCCTCCTCTGGGGAGCAGCCTTGTCAGAGTGGCATCATGGAGAGCAGAGTCTGTGTCATCGGTGTTGTCCTCCTTGTCATCGTCACTGTCGTCATCGCCTCTTTGTTGTTGGGAGCAGCCTCATCCTGAGAGTGGCTTCCTCCAGAGTGGCCTCTTCTTGGGAGCGGCCCTGTCCGGGGAGCGACCTCACTAGCAGTGGCCTTCTTGGGAGTGGCCTCTTCTTGGGAGCGGCTCCAACCGGGGAGTGGCCTCATCTGCGGAGCAGTCTCGCCTGGAGCGGCCTTCTTGGGAATGACCTTGTCAGAATCATTGTTGTCGTCTTTTTGTAAGACAGCCCTGACCGGTCAGTTTGATTTTTGATGCTTGGCGTGAAATAAAGCTTTGTTTGATTCTCGTTTTATATCAGTCTCGTTCCTTTGATCACAGACCCTAACAATCCTAGTACTGTACCAAAATGAAGTTTCCAGATCTGTTAACTGAAGACATGGCTGTATTGGAAAACACAAGGAAAGGATATGTAGGGGCACTGGACCAAACTTCTGGAGGTCTATCTACATCAGGGAATTGCCCCTGACCTTCAGCTGCTGGGGATCAGGTCCCCAATGGAGGAATATAAAGGTGAAATGATTTATATTATTTAATATAATATTATTTAATATAAAGGTGAAAAATTTGTCCTTCATTTACACAAGTCTTTACTAAAGAGTTAATGTTAGCAATTGGCTCCAGAGTGGGCAAGTACAGGTATGTGGATGGTACCTCTCATTAATAAGGCAGGACCAATTTCTACCTGGGGCTTGAAACCTCTCAGTGGGACAAGAAAACTCAAATTCCCCTCCCACTCCCTTCCCTACCTGAGTGCTTCTTCCTCTACATCGTAGTTCCCACCACCACAGCTCCAGTGACCACAAGAACCAGGGCAGCAATGGTGCCCATGATGGGTATGGGTAGGCTCAGGGAAGGTGAGGGACCCAGACCTCAGGTTTGAGTCATGACCTCGAAGATGTTTTGCAGAAGAGCTACTTTCTCGGAGAAGAGATTCCAACCCCAAATCCCTCCTTACCCCATCTCAAGGTGATGGGCTGGGGCATCCCCTTGTGCTGCACATGGCACATGTATCTCTGCTCCTCTCCAGAAGGCTCCACTACAGCCGCCTGTAAGGGCCTACTTAATCAGAGGGAGCCATTTTGTTGTTTATGCAGTAAACTTAGATTGACCCTATGCAGTAAACTTAGATTGACCCTGCCCCTCCCAGAAGAACTTACTTGCAAAGCCCAGATACAAGGGCGGGTCAGGCCAGGTAGAGACAGCCAATCAATGGGGCGCGCATACTGTCTCCCTAGCTATCAGCCCCAGGTAGCAAAGCCCAGATACAAGGGCGGGTCAGGCCAGGTAGAGACATCCAATCAGTGGGGCACGCATATATCTACTAGGGTGAATTGTAATTCAGTTGGCTGCCTGTGTGTTACCTAACATGACTGTGCAGTTTTCTCTGTGCATTGCAATCTCATTGGCCACCTATGTATAGCCTGGCTAAACTACCTCTATAAAAGTTAGTCTGTGAGGCTGGGCGGGGTCGCCTCTTTGCAAGAGACGGCCCTAACTGGTCAGTTTGATTCTCGATGCTTGGTGCGAAATAAAGCTTTGCTTGACCTTCGCTTTGTATCAGTCTCGCTCCTTTGATTATGGACCCTAACACCGCCCACTTCTGGAAGGTTCCATCCCCTGCAGGCCTGGTCTCCACAAGCTCTGTGTCCTGGGTCAGGTCCTCCTCATCATGCTGCCAGGTCAGAGTGATCTCCACAGGGTAGAAGCCCAGGGCCCAACACCTCAGGGTGACATCATGGTCAGAGATGGGGTGGCGGGTCACATGTGTGTTGGGGGATTCTGGAGAAGAAGAATCAGAAAATCTACACTTTGGGTTACCTTCATGGGTCACAAAGCAGCACATGTTACCAACCTGATGATGGAAAAGACAATTGGTTTAGGGATCTGAAATAATGTTTTAGAAGCAGGGAGAGATTCCAGGACAGGAGAGTGTAGGTCTAAAGTGGTCCTGACTGCAGGGGACCATCAGTGACTCAGAAAACCTGGAGTCAGACCTCCAAGGATGTTCTCAGATGGAGTACAAGTCTTGAGAGGGAAAGTCATGGTTTACAATATGATTGCCAGGATGGAGGGGACCATTTCAGGGATGGTCTCCAACTGCCCCCCCAGGAGAGACTGGATTCCTCAATTGTCCTTTAGAGAAAAGTGGCCCTCTGGGTGAGTCACTCTCTAGTAGGAACATGAACACACAGGTGGATCTCCCTCTCCTCACCTGTGGGAGGGCGGTGTTCTGATATTGAGTCCATTTCCCTTCCTGGTGGGAAGCCAGCCCCAGGGGAGGGGAAATCAGGGAGGCCCTAGTACCTGTGCGCAGCATCATCTCCTTCCCCTTCTCCAGGTGCCTGTGGAGCCACTCCATGTGTCTGCCCTCCATGTAGTTCCTGTACCGCTCTGCCACACCAGTGGCCTCCCACTTCTGACGGGTGATCAGCGCGGTGGAGTCTGCCTCGGTCCAGGAGCACAGGTCCTTATTCAGGGCGATGTGATCCACGCCATCATAGGCATCACGAAGGTACCTGGGCAGAAAGCGCCGATCAGGCCCCACGTCGCAGCCTATCACTCTCTGGAAGGAGTGAAACCCTGACCCTGGCCCACCAGGACCTATTGTCATTAAAACCTAAACTGAAAACCAAACCCAGTAGAGTCCCCAGGGTTCTTCCCCGCTGGGGGCATGGCGGTGTCCCGCAGCCTCGGGGTCTCGCTTCAACACGGAGACTTGGAGCTACCCCGGCCTTCCGGCCGGCCGTCCCTGGGGATGGGGGTCATGATCGGTCTCCTGCCCGAGTCTCTCACCGGCCTCGCTCTGGTTGTAGTAGCCGCCCACTTCTCGCAGCCTCCCTCAGAGTGTCTGTGTGCACGTCCTGGAGTCCCGTGTCTGCTGGTCCCAATACTCCAGCCCCTCCTGCTCCACCCAGGGCGCCCGCTTTTCCATCTTCAGACTGGCAGAGTCGCTGTCGAACTGCGCAAACTGCGTGTCGTCCACGTAGCTGCGTTCCAAATACCGGGGCTCCCCGCGGCCAGGCCAGGACACCACAGTGAACAAATACCTCAGGGAGTGGGAGCCTGCGGGCGCGTGGAGGCTGAGACCTCGTCCGACCCCTCCCCCCAACCCGGTCTGATCCCAGGTGGATGAGGCTGGAGGGGCAGAGGGTGAGGGGTTCATGCGTCGGAAAGGGGGCGGTGGGTAGGGCAAAACATCTGTGAGGTCATGTGGTAAGGGTTCCAAGTGCCAGGCGGAGGAGCAGTGCTTGGGTCTGGCAGCCGCCTCCCTCCTCCCACGCTGAGGCTGTTTCTCCCTCACTCACCCGTCCTGGTCTCGGTCACAGCTAGGGGCCCCCGACAGCAGCAGCAGGAGGGCTGGGGGACGCATCACTGGCAACCACCTGTTCTGGGGAGAAGCCGAGTCGCCTGGCCGCCAGTGAAAATACCAGGAACACCAATTGCCTTCTCTAGAAACCCGATAGTCAATGAGAGTGCGAACTGGGGTGGTCTCATGAGTATCCAGGCAGGAGGACCTGACACAGGTTCCCAGAGGAAGTGAAACCAGGGGAGATGCGGACTCCGTTAATAAGGGGCTTTCCCCCCCAAGACACCGCCCTCTCGACGGACCCTGAGAGACAGGCCTAGGGATTTGTGACTTAGTCCTGAACCCTCTTCTCCTGCAGTGAGTGGTCTTGTCATATTGTCTCACTGAATCAGTGACTCAAGCATTTTGTTTTCAGGATATCTATACAATTTTACAATTTAGTGAGTACTAATATCCAAGGATAATTTTGTTTATGTGGGTTATACCTATCAATACATAACTGGGGCGCCTGGATGGCTCAGTGGGTTAAGCCTCTGCCTTCAGCTCAGGTCATGATCTCGGGGTCCTGGGATGAGTCCCGCATCAGGCTTTCTGCTCAGCAGGGATCCTGCTTCCCCCTCTCTCTCTGGCTGCGTCTCTGCCTATTTGTGATCTCTGTCACATAAATAAATAAAATCTAAAAAAAAATACATAACGGTACTAAGAGTAAAAGAGGTTTTAAAATTTTTTCAAGAGATCATTTTGAATGATGTTAATAAGCCATTGCATGTTAACAAAAATTTGGTGAAAAATAACTATTTCCTGAAATAAACAGGGCAGTGAGAATATTGATCTTTGTACATATTGCATTGTTACAAGTCTATCACATAAGAAGACTGCTGGATGTTCACATTTGCAATCTTTTTTATTTAAATTCAATTAGCCAACGTATCATTAGATTTTGATAGAATACTCAGTGATTCATTAGTTGTGAATAACACCCAGTGCTTCCCCCATTCCCACACTCCCCTCCTTTTTGCAATCCTCAGGTTTTTTCCCCTGGTGTCCAGAATCTCTCATGGTTTGTTTCCCTCTCTGATTTCTTCCCAATTTTCCCTCCCTTCCTCTATGGTCTTCTTCTTCTTCTTTTTCTTTTTTTTTTTAAAATTTTTTTCAGTGTTCCAAGATTCATTGTTTATGACCACACCCAGTGCTCCATGCAATACATGCCCTCCTTAATACCCACCACCAGGCTCACCCAACCCTCCACCCGCCTGCCCTCCCAAACCCTCAGTTTGTTTCTCAGAGTCCACAGTCTCTCATGGTTCGTCTCCCCCTCTGATTTCCCCCAACTCACTTCTCCTCCCCTTAACCCAATGTGCTCCAAGTTATTTCCTATGCTCTACAAATAAGTGAACTCTATGATAATTGGCTCTCTCTGATTGACTTATTTCACTCAGTATAATCTCTTCAGTGCTGTCCATGTTGATACAAATGTTGGGTATTCATCCTTTCTGATGGAGACATAATACTCCATAGTATATATGGACCACGTCTTCCCCTTATCCATTCGTCCGGTGAAGGGCATCTTGGTTCTTTCCACAGTTTGGCAACCGTGGCCATTGCTGCTATGAACATTGGGGTACAGATGGCCCTTCTTTTCACTACATCTGTATCTTTGGGATAAATACCCAGTAGTGCAATTGCAGGGACATAGGGAAGCTCTATTTTTAATTTCTTGAGGAATCTCCACACTGTTTTCCAAGTGGCTGCACCAACTTGCATTCCCACCAACAGTGGAAGAGGGTTCCCCTTTCTCCACATCCTCTCCAACACATGTTGTTTATTGTCTTGTTCATTTTGGCCATTCTAACTGGTGTAAGGTGGTGTCTCAATGTGGTTTTGATTTGAATCTCCATGATGGCTAATGATGATGAACATTTTTTCATGTGTATGATAGCCACTTGTATGTCTTCATTGGAGAAGTGTCTGTTCATGTCTTCTACCCATTTTTTGATGTGATTATCTGTTTTGTGTGTGTTGAGTTTGAGAAGTTTTTTAAAATCATTTTTTAAAATTTATTTTCAGCATAACAGTATTCATTGTTTTGTACCACACCCAGTGCTCCATGCAATCCATGCCCTCATACCCACCACCTGGTTCCCTCAACCTCCCACCCCCCCACCTCTTCAAACCCTTCAGATTGTTTTTCAGAGTCCATAGTCTCTCATTGTTCACCTCCCTTTCCAATTTCCCCCAACTCCCTTCTTCTAACTCTGCATGTCCTCCATGCTATTTGTTATGCTCCACAAATAAGTGAAACCATGTGATAATTGACTCTCTCTGCTTGACTTATTTCACTCAGCATAATCTCTTCCAGTCCCATCCATGTTGCTACAAAAGTTGGGTATTCATCCTTTCTGATGGAGGCATAATACTCCATAGCGTATATGGACCACATCTTCCTTATCCATTCGTTCGTTGAAGGGCATCTTGGCTCTTTCCACAGTTTGGCAACCGTGGGCATTGCTGCTATAAACATTGGGGTTCAGATGGCCCTTCTTTTCACTACATCTGTATCTTTGGGGTAAATACCCAGTAGTGCAATGGTGGGGTCATAGGGAAGCTCTATTTTTAATTTCTTGAGGAATCTCCACACTGTTCTCCAAAGTGGCTGCACCAACTTGCATTCCCACCAACAGTGGAAGAGGGTTCCCCTTTCTCCACATCCTGTCCAACACATGTTGTTTCCTGTCTTGCTAATTTTGGCCATTCTAACTGGTGTAAGGTGGTATCTCAATGTGGTTTTAATTTGAATCTCCCTGATGGCTAGTGATGAACATTTTTTCATGTGTCTGATAGCCATTTGTATGTCTTCATTGGAGAAGTGTCTGTTCATATCTTCTGCCCATTTTTTGATATGATTATCTGTTTTGTGTGTGTTGAGTTTGAGGAGTTCTTTATAGATCCTGGATATCAATCTTTTGTCTGTACTGTCATTTGCAAATATCTTCTCCCATTCCATGGGTTGCCTCTTTGTTTTTTTTTTTTTTTTAAGATTTTTTGAAATTTATTTGTCAGAGAGAGAGGGAGAGAGAGCGAGCACAGACAGACAGAATGGCAGGCAGAGGCAGAGGGAGAAGCAGGCTCCCTGCAGAGCAAGGAGCCCGATGTGGGACTCGATCCCAGGACGCTGGGATCATGACCTGAGCCGAAGGCAGCTGCTTAACCAACTGATCCACCCAGGCGTCCCTGCCTCTTTGTTTTCTTCACTGTTTCCTTTGCTGTGCAGAAGCTTTTGATTTTGATGAAGTCACAAAAGTTCATTTTGTTTTTTGTTTCCTTTGCCTTTGGAGACATATCTTGAAAGAAGTTGCTGTGGCTGATATCAAAGAGGTTACTGCTTATGTTCTCCTCTAGGATTCTGATGGACTCCTGTCTCACGTTGAGGTCTTTTATCCATTTTGAGTTTATCTTTGTGTATGGTGTAAGAGAATGGTGGAGTTTCATTCTTCTATGTATAGCTTCCCAGTTTTCCCAGCACCATTTATTGAAGAGACTGTCTTTTTTCCACTGTATATTTTTTCCTGTTTTGTCGAAGATGATTTCACCATAGAGTTGAGGGTCCATATCTGGGCTCTCTACTCTGTTCCATTGGTCTGTGTGTCTGTTTTTATGCTAGTACCATGCTGTCTTGGTGATCACAGCTTTGTAGTAAAGATTGAAATTAGGTAACGTGATGCCCCCAGTTTTATTTTTGTTTTTCAACATTTCCTTAGCGATTCGGGGTCTCTTCTGGTTCCATACACATTTTTGGATTATTTGCTCCAGCTCTTTGAAGAATACCAGTGGAATTTTGACTGGAATGGCATTCAAAGTATAGATTGCTCTAGGCAGTATAGACATTTTAACAATGTTTATTCTTCCGATCCAAGAGCATGGAATGGTCTTCCATCTTTTTGTGTCTTCTTCAATTTCTTTCATGAGTGTTCTGTAGTTCCTCGAGTACAGATCCTTTACCTCTTTGGTTAGGTTGATTCCCAGGTATCTTATGGTTCTTGGTGCTATAGTAAATGGAATCGATTCTCTCATTTCCCTTTCTGTATTTTCATTGTTAGTGTATAAGAAAGCCACTGATTTCTGTACATTGACTCTGTATCCTGCCACGTTACTGAATTGCTGTATGAGTTCTAGTAGTTTGGGGGTGGAGTCTTTTGGGTTTTCCATATAAAGAATCATGTCATCTGCGAAGAGAGAGAGTTTGACTTCTTCATTGCCAATTTGGATACCTTTTATTTCTCTTTGTTGTCTGATTGCTGTTGCTAGGACTTCTCATACTATGTTGAACAAGAGTGGTGAGAGTGGGCATCCTTGTCGTGTTCCTGATCTCAACGGGAAGGCTGCAAGCTTTTTCCCATTGAGGATGATATTTGCTGTGGGTTTTTCATAGATAGATTTGATGAAGTCCAGGAATGTTCCCTCTATCCCTATACTTTGAAGCCTTTTAATCAGGAATGGATGCTGGATTTTGTCAAATGCTTTTTCTGCATCAATTGAGAGGACCATGTGGTTCTTCTCTCTTTTCTTATTAATTTGTTCTATCACATTGATTGATTTGTGAATGTTGAACCATCCTTGTAACCCAGGAATGAATCCCACCTGGTCATGGTGGATGATCTTTTTAATGTGCTGTTGGATCCTGTTTGCTAGGATCTTGTTGAGAATCTTAGCATCCATATTCATCAGTGATATTGGTCTGAAATTCTCCTTTTTGGTAGGGTCTTTGCCTGGTTTGGGGATCAGGGTAATGCTGGCTTCATAGAAAGAGTCTGGAAGTTTTCCTTCTGCTTCAATTTTTGGAAACAGCTTCAGGAGAATAGGTGTTATTTCTTCTTTGAAAGTTTGGTAGAATTCCTCAGGGAACCCATCAGGTCCTGGGCTCTTGTGTTTTGGGAGGTTTTTGATCACTGCTTCAATCTCATTACTAGATATTGGTCTATTTAGGTTGTCGATTTCTTCCTGGTTCAATTTTGGGAGTTTATAGTTTTCCAGGAATGCATCCATTTCATCTAGGTTGCTTAGCTTATTGGCATATAACTGTT